AGTGTTGTATGGCATTGAAGCTTGTTTGGAGTTTTGTTAACACAGTGTCCAGTGAAGGGCCAGATGTATACAAAATGGTGTCGTCTGCGTAGAGGTGGATCTGAGAGTCACCAGCAGCAAGAGCGACATCATTGATATACACAGAGAATCGAGTCGGCCTGAGAATTGAACCCTGTGGCACCCCCATAGGGCTGTAACGTAACAATGTGGAAAAAGTCAATGTGTCTGAATACTTTCCGAATGCACTGTACATGACCGTAAGAATGATGGGATGTTAATTGCTTAATGAACTCAGGAACCACACCTTTGTGGAAGCACCTGCTTTCAATATACTTTGTATCCCTCATTTACTCAAGTGTTTCCTTTATTTTGTCAGTTACCTTTAACTGTCATTGATTGGCCAGATAGTGTTCCAACCAGGGCTGAAGCCGTCCCTTATTAGTGAAGTAGGGATGAAAATCAGCAGTGTTGTGCTACGCACCTCAAGGCCCTAGATTTGAATAGCTCTGTATTCCACTGTGGGCCACAGTACAGTGAGTCTTAGGAAATGTTCGCATACATATGCATCGGGAGCAAATTTAACATATCTCCAATTTTTTTACATACTATGCATTTTTAAGGAGTTGTTTTTGTAGTTACTGGGGAAATGTTAAAGAACTCTTTCTTTAGAATGGTGACGGATATATGTTTTTATAAACACTAAAGCCATTTGCTGTGTTTAATCTGCTACTTTAACTGGGTTAAGGGGTCATTTGATTAATGCACACAATCACATTAATGCAAATTCGATTTAGAGCGATCATACACACATCCATAGGCAGGTCAGGGCTAATTTAGATTGACATTGATAGAACCTGTAACAAAAGTGATAAGGTTAATCAGTATTTACCTAGTTGTTATTCACTGCGACGGAGGGAGGGAGGGAGAATGACAGAGGGAGGGATGGATGTTAAGAGCCTGCACTGAAATCAATCTCCCCTTCTCTCCCAGTGGGTTCATTTCCTGTACAGTGGTAGGGCACAGTCAATACAACAGGAAATCAAAAGGAACCCTGTGACACAGGGACACTCATACAGATGGACTCAGTTTGGAAAATGGTCTCATAGAAAAATGGTTATCATTCTCTACCACTGCCACCCTCCTGTGGGCCGCTGACCTCTCACTACCCACAGCATAGCCCTGGGAACCCACTTAACTCAGTGAAAGATGGGACAATTAGGCATGGGCAATTCCCCGGTAACAGTGACACAGAGACTCAGAATTTTCCATTTAAAATGTATGTCAAACAAAAACCAATGGTTGCAAAATTAAACAACCATACAACTATATGCACAAGGACTACTTTTAACAATTTCGAAACAAAATTGTACAAGAACACATTTACTTGGAAGAACAGTGCAGATGCAAAGTTTGTTAACAATGCCAGTTTGTGCTGTTGGTGCCATCATTCTGTTACCAAACTTTGCATCTGCACTGTTCTTCAAGTCAATGTGTTTTTGTCAAATGTTCTGTGGAAATTGTTAAAAGTAGTCCTTGTACATATAGTTGTATGAGTCTCGGTGTCACTCTGTTACCGGGGAATTGCCTGCATGCTGTCTTCAATAGCTACCTGCAGGCGCATGAACAAGAGGGAAAAAGGGGAGCGGGAGCAGAGAAAGACCAGAGATACAGCAATGGATATTGGAATCAGGTGACCATCTGCTGAGATTCAGTATGACAGTGATGAGAAAGAGAGCAAGTGTTGTTTTTTCTGGTCGGTGTCTTCTGTCAGGAATTCTAGTGTGTGTGTGTGTGTGTACACACTAGAACAGATCCCACTGCCCTTGGATGTGTGCCTGGCTGCCTGCCGTGAAGTCATGACCTCTGCAATTCCCTCCCTGGAAGATTTCAAATAAATAACTTAACACAATGCAAAAGCCCCCGGGGACTCTATCTAGTCCTCGCTCTCTCGCCCATAGCTAAAAAGAAAAGGTTTCAGCCGTTGCTCTGGAAAATATGGTGAAGCATTTTGGCTGAAATTGCACAGCATATTTTCCCCTCTTCAGTTTCCGCTAGGCTATGCCATTGGGTGGGTACATTGTATTTGTGTGTGTGTGTGTGCATGTCAGGGATGGGTGTTGGCTGTTGTGGGGTAACAGTTGGCCAGTACGTGGGTTGGAGGTCCTAAGAGCGACTGGCCATGGTGTCTGAACAGACAGATCTAGATGTCTCACGCTGTTGTAAAAGTGACATATTGTTGCTTCTGGTGCTGCACCTGTTCCAAATATCAACAGGGAGATCTAAATACATTTTGGTCCACTTCCTGGTTTTCTACCTCCTGCTCTCCCTGGCCTGCCTCTCGCCCATAAGGGGACTCAGAGGGGGTTTGGCTTGTGGGACTCCCAAGTCAATGAATAGTGCATTAGACCAATGGAAAAGACTAGGATGATTTATTTAAAGCTGTTGCTGTTTTCCTGAAGCTCTATGGCTCTTCTCTTCCCTCTGGCGTATTGATCCACTCAGGAGAATGGAAGAGGCCAGTCTCTTGCTACTGGGATACACATCTGGCATTCTCCATCTCATAGACCCTTCCAGTCAACACCCATGTATGGGTACAATGTTTATGAATGTTTCATTGGTAAGGTCTTGAACTGTCTGCAATGCGCAAAGCGTAGGGTGATGGATGAGGGGTTGGATCGAGACCGCCTGGGTCTAGCTATATCAACTAAAGTCGTCATTAGCTGCTTTAGTGAACAGCTCAACCTATTGCATACTGTATGCAACACTATTGCGTAAGTTGGACAATAAAGCCTCCCAACATCAGCTTGTTTCCTCACTGCAAGGAAAAGGAATGATTTGAAATGTGCTTCTTATAAGGACAGGATTGCCGGGGAATAAAGCAACTTGCCTGACACGCAATTCCTCGGCTTCAGAAATCCCAAGCTATTTTCCTCTCCTCAATCTCCCTTACATTGTGTGTGTGTTATTGTGGCCGTGAGTCTGTGAGGGCCAGGTAAGCAGCCTGGGTACTGTAGGTAAATACCCTGGGCTGGGCCCCTCTAAGCCGTATTACACCCCCTGCCTCTCCATGTGGCCCACCATGATTACAGCAGGAACAACACTTATCATTCCCCCCTCCCTAAGAAGATCCACTGCTCTCTGAATTTTTTGGAAGGGAGCTAGGCTCACACTCGCTCGTAAACGTTTGAACTAAATCCAACCGTCCTCAACACACACATGCACTCATATACACTCATCTACTGCAAAACACACCAGCCACCTCAGCGCTAGCACTTGGCAGGTTTCTTCCAGTTTTAATGTCACATGCACAGGTACAGTGAAATGCCTTTCTTGCAAGCTCTAACCCCAACAATACAGTAATCAATAACAATGTAATACAAAAAATAACAAGGTAGAACAAAAACACACGCGATATACAAATAAGAATGCGATAAAGTAAGCAAGCATACAATATACAGGGTCAGTTCCAGTACCATATTTACAATGTGCAGGGATACTGGATCGATGGAGGTAGATATGTATAGGGGTAAGGTGACTAGGCATCAGGATAAATGATAAACAGAGTAGCAGCAGCGTATATGATGATTGTATGTGAGTGGGTGTGTGTGTGTAGAGTCAGTATAAATGTATGTGCATATTATGTGTGTGTGAGCAAATGATGGAGTGAATGTTTGTATGTGTGTTGTAGTATCAGTGTGTGTAGGGCCTTGTAAATGTGCATAGAGGAAAAAATAAGAATAAAATAGAAAGGTCGACTCAGACCGTCTAGCCATTTTGTTAGCTAGCTATTTAGCTTTTTTATGGCATGGGGATAAAAGCTGTTCAGGAGCCTGTTGGTGTCAGACTTGATGCACCGGTACCTCTTGCCATGTGGAAGCAGAGAGAACTGTCTATGGTTTGGGTGGTTGGAGTCTTTAATGATTTTCCGGGCTTTCCTTTCACACCGCCTGATATAGAGGTCTTGTATGGCAGGGAGCTCGGCCCAGTGATGTACTGGGCTGTCCGCACCACCCTCTGTAGCACCATTTTAAGTTCTAAGTGATTTGGATACCGAGGAACTTGAAGCTCTCGACCCGCTCCACTGCAGCCCCGCCGATGTGGATTGGGGCATGCTCGCTGCCCCCCCTTTCCTGTAGTCCATGATCCGCTCCTTGGTCTTACTGACGTTGAAGGAGAGGCTGTTGTTCTTGCCCCAAACTGCCAGGTCTGCCCGTTAGGCTGTCTCATCGTCGCCGGTGAACAGGCCTATCACCAATCATCGTCAGCAAACTTGATGATAGTGTTGGCGTTGTGCGTGGCCACACAGTTGTGGGTGAAGAGGGAGTACAGGAGGGGACTAGGCACACACCCCTGTGGGGCCCCCGTGTTGAGGGTCAGCGTGACGGAGGTGATGTTGCCTACCCTCACCACCTGGGGTCGGCCTGTCTGGAAGTCCAGGAGCCAGTTGCAGAGGTAGGTGTTCAGTCCCAGGGTCCTAAACTTGGTGACGAGCTTGGAGGGAACAATGGTATTGAACGCTGAGCTGTAGTCAATGAACAGCATTATTGCATAGGTATTCCTCTTATCTAGGTGGGTGAGGGAATTGTGGAGTGCAATTGAGATTGCATCATCTATGGATCTGTTGGGGCGGTATGCAAATTGGAGTGGGTCTGGGATGATGGAGTTGATGTGTGCCATAACCAGCCTCTCAAAGCACTTCATGATTACAGATGTGAGTGCTACAGGGCGGTAGTCATTGTAGCATGAAGCCTTAGAGTTCTTGGGAACAGGAATGATGGTGGTCATTTTAAAACGTGGGGATTACAGACTGGGATAAATAGAGGTTTAAAATGACTGTGGATATACCTGCCAGCTGTTCTGCGCATGCTTTGAGAACGCACACTGGAATACCATCGGGCCCCGCGGCCTTGCCGGTATTGACCTGATTTAAAGACGTGTTTGTGTGTTAAATCATGGATGTGTGTGTTCCTCTCTAGGTGACGACGGTGGACAGGTTTCAGGGTCAGCAGAATGACTACATCATCCTCTCACTGGTCCGCACCAGAGCTGTGGGACATCTGAGGTAGGCACTTTACCACACACACTAAACAGATATACACCACACCAGTCACTTTACCCCCCAGAGGAGCTTTTTTTAAATGCCTCTTTTTAAAGAGTCTCTTGGTATGAATAAATGTGGAGTTTTCAGAAAAGTTGGTTAGGTCTTTACAGACTTATTTCTCATGTCACGCACAGGGTGGATAAAATCAGCTTTTGAGGAGGATTTAGAAAAGGAGAACGTGCCACCGCACTAACCATTTTTAAGTTCAGCTGCAGCATTGTGTAAAGATGATTGGGGTGAGAGTATCGAATAAAGAGCAGCTTTACCATCAAAGGGTTTTTGTAAAACAGCCTATTACAGGTTTTGAGAGCCCTGTTGGTAACCACTCGCCTGTGTTAAGTTGACTGTCTTTTTCTGATTTTTCTCTTGCTCTTTCTTTCTTACTATCTTTTTCTGTCTCCATGTCTCTGTCCTTCTCTTGCTCTTTCACTCTCCTTTTCTTTTGTACTTTTACTCTTCTTTTCTCAATTACTCTTTCTTTGACTCTCCCTCTCTTCCTTTCTCTTCTGCTCTTTCTCCTCTCACTCCCCTCCCTCACTCCCTCTTTCCCTCACTCCCTCTCACTCCCCTCTCCATCCCTCCCTCCCCCTCTCCATCCCTCCCTCCCTCTCACTCCCCCTCTCTCTCTCTCTCACTCTCTCTCTCTCTCTCTTTCTCACGCCCCCTCTCTCTCTCACTCCCCCTCTCTCTCTCACTCCCTCTCTCTCTCTCTCTCTCTCTCTCTTTCTCACGCCCCCTCTCTCTCTCACTCCCCCTCTCTCTGAATTGATACCTTGTGAAAATACCTTTCATTTCCAGGCTGTTATGAGATACCGACGAGCCCCTCTTCCTTAATACGCTGCATATTTAAACACCAGGCAAATATTTTAGCTGTCTGTACCAGGACGCGCACACACACACACACACACACACTCCCTCTCCTTGTGATGTATAGTGGAGGGTGCGCTGGTGTAATGTGTTTTTACGGATATAGGCCTATTGGAGGCGCGACATGGCCGACCGTCTCCAAATGGAGCTTTGGCTGGATGAATAAGTCATCCTCTCCTTTGATGCCTGTTCTAGCTTAGCAGCAAGTGCATAAAGCCAGGGCCAAAAAAAACACTTCAAAACTCCCTTTTCTCTGTGTCTGATAAAGGAGAAAATTGATGGGCTGGTGGTGAAGGGGTGCATGTGGGCCAGGGAGAGTCACCAGTTTATCATGTTGTCTCACCTATCACAGGAGATGACACCCTTCTGCTTAATTCACATTTCATTCTCTGTCTCTCTTTATATGTGGAGTGGGTTTTAAAACACCTCTTATGTCCAAGAGTTAGTTATTCACAGAAGGGGAGAAGAAATACTGTATTGTAACTCCAAGACATGAGCGTTTTATCAATGGGTTCACATTGCAAGTGTTATTTTTGAATGGCCAACTGTCTACTTTGTACTATGATAGACATTAAACCACTGTTGAACATGGCCAATTCAATAACATTCCCTACTTGTTGTGTGTTTTGAGCATAGAAATACTTTAAGCTAGAGAGGATCTCTGACTGATTGTGCTAACTTAATTAATATCTTGGTGGCCTTTCTGAATGGGTGGGAAAGCAGTGATTCATGAGAAATTCCCCCTGCTGTCTCTCCCATGCTGAGTTCTCTCTCCAGTATGGCGGCATTACCTCGCTTCACTCCACTCTGCTCATAGCAACCCGCTGCCGTGCAACTGACCGTATGACAAGCTGACCCCTCGATCTGACAGCCTAGGAGAAGCCCTCCCACTGGGACACACACGGGGAGGGACACATACATAGACAGACACACTGTGACAGCAGCACACACACACACATGTACTGGGACACACACACAGGGTCACACTCAGACACAGACACACTCTGACAGGCGCACAACCACACACACATGTGCAGGTATACACAAATGTTGACACACACACACCAAAGAGAAGACATGCAGGGAGACAGACACACCCCGACAGGCACTGACAGACACACTGCCCCTCTACATGACTGCTTATGTCAAGGAACCACCCAGGTGGGCGTCCCCTACCCCTGCACACAGAGCTGTTTCCTCAGGCGAAGACTGCTTCTGATTGGCTCCTCTCTTGTCAGGCTCTTTGCTGATTGGAGGGCTGCTCTTGTGGTTTGTTTCTGTGGCAGTGATGTGTTTTAGGTAGCGTTTCCATGGTCCACATTCTTGTGAGTTGTTGTTGCCTTGTTAACTAAAGAGATTACTACACACACTAGTACGCTCACACACACGCCTACACACAGTTTAACACAACACCCCATACATAACACACAAGTGTAGATTAATCTCGTGGTCTACTCGTGTCCATTTCACATTCCACGTCTTGTCTGTGTATGAATGTATGTTTGTGTGTAGAGTTTTACACACGGAGACAAAGATTGTTTAGAATCTCACCAGAGCTCCCTGAATAAGCCAAAGAAATCTCCTTCCTTCCCACGCAAAAGCCTTTACCTCAGCCCATGTTGACAGGATCAGTGTTAGTGGAGCTGGAGAAGGTCTTACCGTCAGTTTCACTCTACATCAGCTGAGTTATTATAGTAGTATGCTACAGTATACAGTCATTTGAGATTTCTACCTGTAACTTGGACTGGAGCTACCTGGCTTTGTCTTGGTTGAACTACTGCCTCACTATGGTCTGAATACAATAGATAAACCTGCTGTTGTAACATAATGGCTGATCACCAGCCCAGTGTGAACAGTTGGTTCCCTGCTTTTACCCATATAGTCAGAACTCAGGAGTTAAAATTAGAATTCAATTCTGTGCTGCTGATGTGCGCTGTCTTATCAAGGTTGCTTAGATAAATGAGGCATTTATCATACATATATTTATTGTTAGATACTACTTGAATTGTTAGATACTACTGCACTGTTGGAGCTAGGAACACAAGCATTTCGCTACACCTGTAATATCATCTGCTAAATATGTATATGTGACCAATAACATTTAATTTGATTTTATATCTGTCCCATAATGTCCCTGGCTCCTCCCTGGGGACCAGGACTAGCAGAGTATAGCAGCCTGCAAACTATATTTTACTAAACACACCACCACTGCACGGCAGTATTACAGCCAGGGAAACAGAAGCTTCCCGACTCCCCTCTCTCTCCCTCTAATCCTTTAATTCCACTGGATGGAAAGAAAGTAGCCCATCTCCTCGCTCTGTCTCCCCTCTGCCTTTTGTCTGTCGCTCCTCTCTCTGCCTTTCCTCTCCCTCTCGTTCCTTGCCCTCTGCTTTTTCTCCTCTAGCCATCCTCCCCTCCCTCTCAATTTTTTTATCTCCTCACCTTTGCTGCCTTATCTTTCTTTAACGCCTCTCTACTCCTGCTCTCTCATCTGTCACTTTCGCGCCTTTCCAATTCCTTTATAAATGTTCCCTCTTTTTCTCACCCACTTGCTTTGGGAGTGGAAGGGTTGTGTAGATAGTGATTTAGAGGCAATATGTGCCAATTGCCAATGCTGGTGCTCTTTTTTTGACTCAATTAAGTGGTTTAAAATGTAATTTCTCTCTCACTCCCCCTCCCGCTCTCACTTCCTCTCTCTCCCTCCCGTGCTCTCTCCACAGGGATGTGAGGCGGTTGGTGGTAGCCATGTCCAGGTCCAGGCTTGGCCTGTACATCTTTGGACGGGTCAGTCTGTTCCAGAACTGCTTTGAGCTGACTCCTGCCTTCAATCAGCTCACTGCCAGACCCTTGAAGCTCCACATCAGACCCAACGAATACTACACACAGGGACAGCCTGTGAGTACACACACTCACACTCGCTCGCGCACGCACACACGCGCACACACACACACACAGAGACAAGCTAATACACACATGCACTCTCATACACACTATTAGGCACATGCACTACTACAAGCACACACTTTGACTCAAACACTTTCTCAGACACATAGACATACGTTTCTATGCAGTGCCCTTTCCAGCTCCTGCATAGTACATACCCCTTCATCCCCACTGCAGCCTAATCCTGCCTCTGTCATAATTCTCAATGGATGGAGTGATTCCTCCCCTCTCTCGTTCTATCCAGCCTCTTACCCACCGGCCCAGTCAGTTAACACCATTCAGTAAAGGCAGACTGTGACAGACAGATGGGGGAACACAGTCTATTATTAACCCCCAAAGGTCACCAGGCAAAGCCAGTCTACCCCAACCCATACACCCTCCAGGATAGTGCTAGACTGGGGGGGGGGGTTACTGTAAGCCCCCCCTAGCCCCACCTCGTGGCGCACACACACACACACACACACACACACATTGGCACGCAAGCTCCAGTTCGAGGGACAGCTCTTTTAGGCACGCACATGTGCCCCCCTTGCTAAGTACTGACCTATCAGAAAGAGTCCAGTCCCGGACGCTCCACTTTCTCCTCAGAACCACTGATTTGGAATCAGTCTTTCCCATCCGTCTCTGAGCCTTACTCATTATAGACCATATAATAACACTTATCTGGGACCTGTTGTAAAGCACATAGAGAAATCATGTAATATTCAGTTTGTCTATGCTTAGTTGCCCTTGATAACATGAGGTAGTGAAACGTGATTTGGCTAATGTATTGTTATTGTAATGCTGTGGTTGAGTTGCACTTAACTGCTTCCCCTTAAATTATTTTACTGCAATTTAAGGGGAAACCGTTAAGTGCAACTCAACCACAGACTTTACTGCACACACACTGGTTGAATCAACGTGGAATAGACATTGAATTGACGTCTGTGCCCAGTGGGCAGTCTTATTTTACAACGCCCCTGCTCCCTGCTCCACACAAACACACACACACAGCCCAGTGGACCGCTGCAATTCCAGCGCATTACTTATGTTTAGGGGGCATTAATGCAGCTGAGTGAATATTCAACTCGCCCGCCATGCTGTCTTCCTATTTGCATATTCCCTTTCTCTCCCCTGTCTCTCACTCCCTCTTGGCAATCTCGTCTCTCTCCGGTACTCGCCCCTCTCCCTCTTGGCATCTCCCTCTGCCTCTCTCTCTCCCTCTTGGCACCTCTCTCCCTCTTGGCACCTCTCTCCCTCTTGGCACCTCTCTCCCTCTTGGCACCTCTCTCCCTCTTGGCAGCCTCCTCCTCCCTCTGGCACCTCCTCTGCCTCTCGCTCCCGCTGCCCTCTGCCTCCCTCTGCCCGCTGCCTCCCTCTGCCCTCTGCTCTCCCTCTTCCCTCTGCCTTCTCTCTCCCTCTGCCTCTCTCTCCCTCTGCCTCTCTCTCCCTCTGCCTCTCTCTCCCTCTGCCTCTCTCTCCCTCTGCCTCTCTCTGCCTCTGCCTCTCTCTCCTCTCCCTCCTCTGCCTCTCTCTCCCTCTGCCTCTCTCTCTCTCTGCCTCTCTCTTTCTCCCTCTGCCTATCGCTGCCTTTCTCTCTCACTCCGTAGCCGCATTAATAGTAAGTGGTCTAAACTAATTGATTTGAAGAGGACTGAAGGGAGAAATGAATAACCTGTAAACCATCTCTCTCTCCCTCCCTCAGAGAGAGCCTCGCTCGTCCCAGCCCGACCAGGTGATCAAGAACATGCCGGAGATGGCCAACCTGGTCTACAACATGTACATGCACATGATCCAGAGCACCCAGCAGTACAGACAGGTAACTACTGACCTCACAACACCCAGTTGTACAGACAGGCAACTACTGACCTCACTACACCCAGCAGTACAGACAGGTAACTACTGACCTCACTACACCCAGCAGTACAGACAGGTAACTACTGACCTCACTACACCCAGCAGTACAGACAGCTAACTACCATACTACACCATACACCAGCAATTGGAAAAACTAGGCTAGCTCCCCTAGCACAGACCACTAGCTCCCCTAGCACAGACCACTAGCTCCCCTAGCACAGACCACTAGCTCCCCTAGCACAGACCACTAGCTCCCCTAGCACAGACCACTAGCTCCCCTAGCACAGACCACTAGCTCCCCTAGCACAGACCACTAGCTCCCCTAGCACAGACCACTAGCTCCCCTAGCACAGACCACTAGCTCCCCTAGCACAGACCACTAGCTCCCCTAGCACAGACCACTAGCTCCCCTAGCACAGACCACTAGCTCCCCTAGCACAGACCACTAGCTCCCCTAGCACAGACCACTAGCTCCCCTAGCACAGACCACTAGCTCCCCTAGCACAGACCACTAGCTCCCCTAGCACAGACCACTAGCTCCCCTAGCACAGACCACTAGCTCCCCTAGCACAGACCACTAGCTCCCCTAGCACAGACCACTAGCTCCCCTAGCACAGACCACTAGCTCCCCTAGCACAGACCACTAGCTCCCCTAGCACAGACCACTAGCTCCCCTAGCACAGACCACTAACCACTAGCTCCCCTAGCACAGACCACTAGCTCCCCTAGCACAGACCACTAGCTCCCCTAGCACAGACCACTAGCTCCCCTAGCACAGACCACTAGCTCCCCTAGCACAGACCACTAGCTCCCCTAGCACAGACCACTAGCTCCCCTAGCACAGACCACTAGCTCCCCTAGCACAGACCACTAGCTCCCCTAGCACAGACCACTAGCTCCCCTAGCACAGACCACTAGCTCCCCTAGCACAGACCACTAGCTCCCCTAGCACAGACCACTAGCTCCCCTAGCACAGACCACTAGCTCCCCTAGCACAGACCACTAGCTCCCCTAGCACAGACCACTAGCTCCCCTAGCACAGACCACTAGCTCCCCTAGCACAGACCACTAGCTCCCCTAGCACAGACCACTAGCTCCCCTAGCACAGACCACTAGCTCCCCTAGCACAGACCACTAGCTCCCCTAGCACAGACCACTAGCTCCCCTAGCACAGACCACTAGCTCCCCTAGGACAGACCACTAGCTCCCCTAGCACAGACCACTAGCTCCCCTAGCACAGACCACTAGCTCCCCTAGCACAGACCACTAGCTCCCCTAGTACAGGCTAATAGTACAGTAGTGAGAGATACAGCTAGCTGCTCCAATGTCACCTATCAGTTTATTTACCCACACCTGAGACCGGTTAATACTGGTCCTCAAACACACCTGCTCCAAAACAACCTCTTACAGTAATTCCTCTGTCTCTGTCTCTGTCTCTGTCTCGCGCTGTTTTTTAAAACTTTAATGCAGCGGTGGAAATAGGTCAGATGTAAGATAATTGTTTTAGTTCTGCATGCTGAGCCTTAACAGGCCACGAGCCTAACATTTTAGATGAGGGAACCAGAATGAGTTTTAATTAAAAGAGCAGTGCCTTCTTTTGTTTTACACCATGGGGAGTGGAGAATAAAGGAGGGGGAAGGGGTGATAACGGGTGCTGCTAAGCTACCCCACCCCTCTCTCATCCCCGCCTAAAGTGGCAGGGCTGCAATGAAGAGGTGAGGTAACTTTGGTTTTCCAAACATAACAGGGTGTGCCCTCCCTAACCTGTCCCTAAGGCATGTGCACAGATTCTGTCCTCAACCAGAGAGAGCAAGGGAAGGTAGGAACGAGAGCAAAAGTGATAGAGACAGGAGGACAGAGAGAGGGATGGGGGGGGGGGAGATGAGACATGAGATGAGCAGTGATAGAAATATATATTTTTGTACAGCATGGAAAATCTGTTAGGGTCTCATGTCTACAATACATTTTCTCATGAATTCAAGATATGGATGAACATTTTTATAAATGTAGGAATGATATGGTGACACCCTGCTTACATACACCCCCATTCCTCACCTTCCCCTGTGTTATCTTCCATGTCCAGCAACAGCAGAAGCTCCTGCCTCCCCCTCGGCAGACCCAGGCAGAGGCAGCTGTCCAGGCAGACGAGGACCAAGCTGAGACCCCAGTTGAAGTGGAGAACCAGGAAGAGACCCCGATGGAGCAGGAGTGCTCAGGGGAGGCCGGCACAGAGAAGACCCCACAGGAGACACCAGAGAAGGGCGACCAAGAGAAGGTGCCAGAGGAGCACCCCAAAATGCCCGAGCACCCTGGCCGAGATAGCGACAGTGATGGAGAGGATAGTGATGATGCGGAAGCATCTTAGAGTGGGGCGTGCCTGTGGGCCCCTGCACTGCTTTATCTGGCCCCATAGATGGGGCCCCAACTGGACTGTCCCTTAGAAAAGAGCTTGGAGCTAAAATGATGATCCTGTTTTAGAATCGTTTTTCTACTGAAGCCATGAAGATGACTTGAGAAGCCTTGAGGATAATGTTTAATTTGATTTTCCGAGATGGTCTGTTTTGTAATCAATACTTTTTTAGTAAAATAATTCTCAATGTGAATGCAATCTGAGTTTTTTATCTTCTACATACATTTGCAGACACATACTCACACACACCCAGCCATCCTATTTAAGCCTTTTTCAAAGCTCCCTGTCATGTTACTCTTCCAGTCTACACACTTCCGTTCTGCCCCTCCCCCAGACAGGGTCACTGGGATCTGTCAATCTGATTGGCTCGCCCAATAGCGGCTGGACATGCTGCCACTAAGCTGCATTTATAGGTCAGTCACCATGCACATGAAGCCATGGGGGGAGAGAAGCCAGTACTTCAGACATTGTATCACTCACAACCCCACTCAAATCATCAGTGTCCATATCAGTGTTTGGGAACAAATGGACACAGTGGCATACAGTTCACTGAGATTGTGGTGGTGGATTAGAGCCTACCCTGACCTGACTCCCATTTATAGCATCATTGGTCCTGGTAGTGTGGAGAGTCCACAGCCTGCAGGCTCACAGCACAGACTGGGAATTTAGGCATTATCATGCACCAGAGGTTAGCTAGCTGTTACATACGTCAGGCTAGCCTGTAACCCTCTCCCCAAGCTACACCCCCACTGTCTGAGAGGAGAGATTGCATCCACAGCTGCTCAGGGCCAAGTCACAGTACAGTCGTGGTGCTTCAACAGACCTGAACGCAGCCTAGCTAGAGAAAAAGTATTGTTTAGATTCAGGGAAGTGAGAGCAATGTATGTAACACGATTATCCAGTTTTGTTTTAGTGTACAGGTGTCATCTTCAAAGGCTGTTTAGATATTCAACATGTTTTAATGTTTGCTTTCAAAGCCTCTGCGACATCAAAGCTGAAGCAGATGTACTCTAGTCAGCCTAGAATAGATATGTCTCTTATGTGTCAGTTATACACTGAGAATACAAAACATTAGGACCACCTGCTCTTTCCATGACATAGACTGACCAGGTGAATCCAGGTGAAAGCTATGATCCCTTATTGATGTCACTTGTTAAATCCACTTCAATCAGTGTAGATGAAGGGGAGGAGACAGGTTAAAGCCTTGAGACAATTGAGACATGGATTGTGTATGTGTGCCATTCAGAGGGTGAATGGGCAAGACAAAAGATTTAAGTGCCTTTGAATGGGGTATAATAGTAGGTGCCAGGCGCACCGGTTTCAATGTCAAGAACTGCAACGCTACTGGGTTTTTCACGGTCAACAGTTTCCCGTATGTATCAAGAATGGCCCAAAGGACATCCAGCCAACATTACACAAATGTTGGAAGCATTGGAGTCAACATGGGCCAGCATCCCTGTGGATGCTTTCGATACCTTGTAGTCCATGCCCGATGAATTGATGCTGTTCTGAGGGCAAAAGGGAGTGCAACTCAATATTAGGAAGGTGTTCCTAATGTTTTATACACAGTGTAAATCATAATCCATAAACAATTACAGGGTTAATTAATTAAATCGTCATTTGTATGACAAATAATCCCTTACAACTAGACTTGTCCCATAAATCCCCAGATTCTTCTCTGTATTGGTTCTGCATGTGCAGTGCAACAAACTTTTGAAACCTACAACAACCATTAATTTATTTTATTGAGCAACCGGTCCATGAATACACACATTGTGTCATAGCCTCCCTCTAGAAAACCTTCCGCAAATTACCAAATATCCTTATCTCCAGCTGTCCTCCCTGGCATTCAGTTTCCCCTAGTAGAGGCTATCTTGTTGCAGTAAATTAGCGTTAACTGGGAGGAGGAGGCCACTCATACAGACTGACTTTACTTGGCTTTGGCAGCTCCAAGCAGGAACAAAACTGAGGGGGATATCCATTCCACAAGCAAGGAGGAAAAACAGGCTCACACTTTCTTAAAGATCTCTCAAACTTCCCACATCTGAAGGTGAACATGTCTTTTATACTCACTCCACAGGTATTCTCCACAATATGGTTTACATAGCTCTACTTCGCATAGCTTAATGCCCTTCTACTTGTTAACCGTTAACTGCCATTGGTTGATGTCACTAGCACTAACTGCATGCAGTATAACAGTGCTATATGCATTTGTGTGCCGAGGAAGTATTGTAACTGCGCTTCTCTACATCCTTTAAGGGTCTTTGTAGAAGGTGAATTTAAAAGACAAAAAGGTATGACTGTAAACTGTTAGAGATATGATTTGATGCTGTGATGTCTGTACTTTTCTGTTCTCAGGATGTTTTTCTTCAGGCATGGTCAAATGTTTTCATATTGCTTCAAAATATGAAAGCAACTTTTATTGCTCATCTTATCCTAAATCGTTGAAATAGCCAATGGATCCTGGGAAAAGTAGTAGTGTTTTTGGAATGCTAGTATTGTCTCATGTTTTTGATACACTGTGAAGGGCGTTCCCTGAAGCACGAGAACCTCGAGATTAACCAGTGCTGCTGATCTCATCACACGGTCTGTCTCACCACAACAGGATATTACACAGAACAGATAAGGAAGTAGGGAGGAAAGTGTACAATAGCTCATAAAACTGAAACAGCCTTGCTAATCGATCTGATTGTTGGCTTTTACACTCTCATTTTAAAAAAACTGTCAGTCTGACAGTTCGCTACTGAGCTCTTGGAAGATTTTATTTTAGATAAGACCATGGAATGAATAAAGTTGAAGTTTATACTTTATTTGCGTCTGCAGTTACAGACCAATGAGTGTTACATACACTGACCGCAAATGAATCCTTAGTGCTTGCTGTTCCCAGCCACTTTGAGCAGTGTCAGGTCCACTCAATCTTCTGTAGTGTAGGAGTAGACTCCCTGTTGACCCCAGCGGGTAGGGACCATGGTGATAGCGGGGAGTGTCAAGTACATCCACATCAACTGGGCTGGTGCATTCAATCTGATAATCATCAATTACAGATGGGAGTGTCACAGAGTATATCCTCTGATTGAATCACCATAGCACCCAATACACTGGGAATCTGATCTGATGTCTGGGAGCCAATGACATTGATATTTTTATGGCCGATATATAGATGGGATTATGAAAATCTAATAATCTGAAGTGATATTAATCGGCTCTGATCACATGGGGAGGGGAACAGCTCTGGCAATATAAATATTACTGTTACCCTATTCTTTTTGATGAGAAATCAATAAAATAGACAAGATTGCCTAACAATTTGTCTTCCTTCTGTCAACTCTGCAAATTCCATCTTTGTGTGAGGCAGGTTGTCTATTGTTTGTATTCATGATTGATTTGTTAACGGAATGAAAAATGTAAATATTTTTCCCCTTCTCCTCCTATCTTCCTCCCAGACTAGGATGGCCAGTTGCGGGTCGTGTTTCTGGAGCATTGTGTGGCTGGTGATTTTACTGATCATAGGCTGGCCACTCAGTATCTTACTGGGGGGGCTCTACGGCCTCATCACCCCCCTTACCACCTGCGTGGGCCTGGACCGCTTGTCAGACCTGCTCCTGGAGGGGGCCAACCTGGGTCGGACCTGCGCCCAGAACATGAAACATGGCAAGGCAGTGTGCTGAGACCAGACCAGGTCCTGGTCCTGACTGCTGCTTCTGGTCCTGTCACCGTGGAAACAGACAAACGTTTCCTGCACAGAGGAAGAGTAACTGTTACTGTTCATGCCGAAGGCCATTGTGTTATTGTTCGTCTTGTCACGTTATTGAGGTGTTAATATTAAAAGTCCAAAGCCAAAACACAAGGTAAACTTTTAACAAAATGATTATGCTCGCTCTATCAATGTGTCATTAACAGTGGATGTTCTTTTTTGTTTGAGTTTGTCTACTCTACAACTTGAAATACAGATACTTAGTATTCATAGACTGTATTTGCTGTTTTTAATTCATGATGACATCCTGCAAAGGGCAGATAATGTTCAACAGCTTAACTTTAACAATAGAGCAGTTATGGATTTAAACTTATAACGTGATTAAATTCTTTTGAACTTGCCTTACATAGTATTTATTGATTGAATTGTCATTAGACAGAAAATACAATGTCTGCCTGCCTCATTTTTTACATAGGAATATCTCAATGCATTGTCAATCCTCAGATGCATTTTCAGACTGAAGTGGAAGATTTAAATTGCACTTTTACAAGTTTACAAGCTCTCTATTTCTCCACAGAGAAATTAGGTTGTACATTGTGGAATTCCGACAACTGGTCCGCTTCTCTTGCCTTAGGGTTACCTACCTCCTCCACAAACTTTAAAATGAAGTTTCAGTTGTCTCTGATTGACTATACACTGAGTGTATAAAACTTTAAGAACATCTTCCTAATATTGAGTTGAACCCCCCCTCCCCCTTTTGCCCTCAGAACAGCCTAAATTTGTCAGGGCATAGACACTACAAGGTGTCGAAAGCGTTCCTCAGGGATGCTGGCCCATGTTGACTCCCACAGTTGTGTCAAGTTGGCTGGATGTCCTTTGGGTGGTGGACCATTCTTGATACTCACAGGAAACTGTTGAGTGTTAAAAACCCAGCAGCATTGCAGTTCTTGACAAAAACCTCTGTGTGCCTGGCACCTACTACCATACCCCGTTCAAAGGCACTTAAACCTTTTGTCTTGCCCATTCACCTTCTGAATGGCACACATACACAATCCATGTCTCAATTGTTTCAAGGCTTAAAAATCCTTCTTTAACCTGTCTCCTCCCCTTCATCTACACTGATTGAAGTGCATTTAACAAGTGGCATCAATAAGAGAGAGCTTTCACCTGGTCAGTCTTCATGGAAAGCGCAGGTGTTCTTAATGTTTTGTACGCTCAGTGTACATGAGAAGAAGATAATGTAGAGATGACCATATGCAGTAATTGGGAATTTATGCCAAATAAGGATAGTGCCAACTCGTCAGCGTTTCTTTGCTTATAGGGAAGGTTTTGTTGTGAACTTGTTAGTTGATGAAACTCAGATGAGAACAGATGGAAATCTGGATGAAGTTCTATAACACATTTTGATGCACAGTGAATGTCAAATACTCAATAAAGTGCTGAGATTTATGGGTCTATCAGCAATCCTAAAAGTTCAACTTCGACCCTTAACGTGAAATGCAGAAATGAAAGACTAGGTAATGCAGAATTCAGTAACTGAGGAAAGTATGTAAGAATAAGCATAACCTTTCAAAAATATGATAGGTTGACATTTTTTAATTGCATATTCAAATTCTCAGGAATGATTACCTTATGTCACCTTTCAATTATCGTTCTTTCTTCTCAAACTATGTGAAATGGATCTTTCCAGATAAAGTTATTTCTCAGTGAAAGTCAGCATCACCTTGACTTTTGCTTAAAGAAAGCACATATTCTGGCACCATAGTTCAGCAAGCCATTGAAAGGTACACCAGAGGTACCATCCTTTCATCTCTTCATACGCTCATGCAATTGGGACATGGAAGAGATGAAACTTGAAAAAGAATTCCAGTTCAAAGGAAACGCACAGAGAATAAAAGGTCAGAGGGGAGAAACACAGTGGAATATTCCAACTTTTCAAGCACATCTTTCAGGAAGTTAACTTTTGGGAAACCTGCGTTATGCTTAAACCATTTATCATGGACAATTTCCCCATCGAGAAGAAAAGCAAGAGTAAATGCAAACTGAAGGATGAAGCATTTAAATGAATTGCAGAGCTGTGAAAGTCCAATTTAAATTGATAGTTTTTGGCTCCTTAAAATTCTTCCCCATCTTGTTTTGATTTTCACAATGCCTTGTCATCAACGTCAAAAAATAGCCCAGGTTCCAATACTTTAAAATCCCTATTAGGATTTATCCAAAACACTCCTGCTGAGTGTAGCCTTTGCCATTACCAAAACCAGGGGAGCTATATGCATTTGTAGATTAAACTATTCAAATGTAATTCATGAATAATTCATTTTCTTTCCAAAGCGCTATTTAAACTCATTTTCTCGCTCTCACTATTGACTGGTACACACTGTGACAATCATTCTCTATTGCTTTTTATATCGGGAGTTCTAATCCTTGCAAAAATTCCTTTGAAAAAAGATGGATGCTTCCCAAAATCTTAGTGAAATATTTATGCGAGTGCCATATGAGACCTAGTTGGGTTGATTTTTTCTCTGCCCAACACTGCTCCCAAAAGTCCTGGGGGCAGAAAACATCTTGCCAAAAATTGCCTGATTTAAAGTTAGTCTTTTTTCTATCTCCCAGAAGTCTTGGCAGGGGATGAAGCTTGGTTGGCTGACAGCGTCGTGCTGAGAGGCTGCACGTGAGAGGAAGAGAGAGAAGGAGAGGGAGTAGAGAGCAAAGGAGAGAGAAAGATAGGGAAGGGGAAGACGGGGAGAGAGGGGAGATTGAAGAGAAAAAGGAGGGAGGAAGAGCGAGAAAGACAGAGGAGAGGGAAGGAGAGAGAGGGAAGAGATTCAGCAGGGCTGGTGAATATTTTATTTGGGTGTGAGATTGGGGATGGAAACAGGACGGCGTGCCTCGCTGGGAGGAAACCTGGGGGGCTCAGAGAAAGGATATGTGGGGCTCAGCATCCAATTAACCTCATACTGCTTTGTAATTTCACCCTCTCACACACACATACAGGGATACTCCTGTACTGTTAACTCAGGGAATGTCAAAGTTGGCCACCTTTCAAAGGGAAAGGAGAGTGTGTGGTATGGTAACCTGTGTCTGTGCAGTACACCAACAAGAGCTCACAAACTCATCGCAAATGGGGTTTGCTTGTGCTGATGGTTGTTTTTATACTGTAGTTATGTATCTTGTGAACCTGTGTGTTATTAATGTGTAATAATTAAGCATTAAGGCCCGAGGGCGTGTGGTATATGGCCAATATACCACAGCTAAGGGCTGTTCTTATGCACGATGCAATGCGTAGTGCTTGGATACAGCCCTTAGCCGTGGTATATTGGCCATATACCAGAAACCCCCGAGGTGCCTTATTGCTATTATAAACTGGTTACCAACGTAATTAGAGCAGTAAAAATACATGTTTGTCATACCTGTGGTATACCACGGCTGTCAGCCAATCAGCATTCAGGGCTCGAACCACCCAGTTTATAATGTCCAGTTTATAATGTCGATTATAAACCGGGTGGTTCAAGCCCTGAATGCTGATTGGCTGAAAGCTGTGGTGTGTCAGACCGTGTACCACGGGCATGACAAAAAATTACTTTTTATTGTTCTAATTACTTTGGTAACCAGTTTATAATAGCAATAAGGCACCTCGGTGGTTTGTGGTATATGGCCAATATAACACGGTTAAGAGCTGTATCCAGGCACTTCTCGTTGCGTTGTGGTATATTGGCCATATACCACACCCCCTCAGGCGTTATTGCTTAATTATAATACGTGCAGAACATACACACTGTACAGTATGTATGCATGAACTGTATGTAAACTATAGGTTTAATTAAAGATGGTGCAGGCTGTGAGCTTTGAACACGCTTTATGGAAATGAGTGTAGAATTATACAATACATTCTTGGTCTGTTCCCGATTTGCTTTTCCTTGACAACCTTGATGAATATGGATGCTGTTGTAGGCAGTTCTTTCATAATTAATAAATAGGCTTGTTTTGGTGGACTGCACTTGGGGTGAGGATCTGTCTATCTTTCTATATATCCAAGATCATAACATCAAAACAAAAAGGTTTTCTACATTTTGTATTAGTTTTCTACAAATATTACCTTTGTAACAAAAGCTCATAAGTTACTTATTCTGTTCAGTGCTCCGCTTATCTATACTTTTAAACACATTCATTGATTTAATTTCCACATGTGAAAATGTGTTGGAATCATCCAGTGTGTGTTGTTCATAGCAGCCCTAAGGCCATGGTGCACCCAGTACCTTCTCCAGGTTAGAAGGCCTGAAGCAAAAACAGGTTCAAGACAATCCAGTTGCTTCTCAGTTCAGAGTTGTGTGGAAAAGGACTAAATGCTTTCATAGCATATGTATTGAACCAGTTTTGATTAATTGTTAATAACACAGTGAGCTGCATCTTATGAAATCCGTCTTGCTCAATCTATTGTGAAAACACATTTAAAGCAATACGCGAAAGGTGTCCTTCAGGGGTGTGAATTAGGGCCTTTACATTTGTTTATTATTATTAGTAATTCCCAATGGAAATCAAATCGACTCACTTTTGCGCCTATGATTGTGGTTTCAGTCCTAAAAACAATATTGTTTCTCCTTCAGGGTGTGTGATTAAGGAGATGGCACAGGAAATATGATAGTGTCATGTTTATTTAGCCTCAATGACTACTGCTAATGTAGAAATCTCAGTATGTGAATATTCGAGCAGCTTCCAAAGTGTCTCTTCCCCTCACTCTGTGTTGTTATACCCTTCTCCGCTCAGAAAATATTTTTCAGACTATGATAATAATCATTCCCTTTAGCCAAACTGAACAGGGGTACATATGTTCATAGCAAGACAACAATGTTTGAAAACGGGGGCAGAACGATGAGGAAAGCAGGCCTAGGCTAGCAGTCATTATGTAATGTAAAAACAAAGTCACAACAAGGGGGCTATGGCTTGGGGTAGGGTGACAGCAGCATATGATTCATGGCTAGTTGTGCCCTTTTGTGTTTCTTCCTTGTGTTTGACCCCTCCAATGCTCTCAGCCAGTGTTATTTTAGACCAACTTGTTCTTTCTCTGTTTCAAGAGCACATGCAGTGTCATCTGTAATCTGTAATGTCTTGTCCTTTTAACAAAATATTAAATAATAGTTCAACACACACAAACTGGTAGTCATGAAAGGAATGAGTATTTCTTCTATTCTGATGTGTATTTCTATTTTGTCAATTCAAAGGCATCACAAACTTATTCGCTACCATTAAATATAAATGGCAAATACATTATTGAAATTGCTGGCTGAATGAGTACAGAATTATGTTGAATCATGTTGGCATATAGCCATTATATCACAGCTATCAATAATAATCGAAATGCCTATTTTAGAAAATTATTTACTCAATAACATTAAATTATGCATTATGGTTATTGCAATGGTTATTTATTTATGCAAGTCCAATCACCCAAATGTATGAGTTCCACAATTGAAATACCAATATCTTCTTGGAAATAGGCATAAACTAGACAGGCCATGTAGGCCTATACAAAGAAAACAGGTTCAACTGAATCATATATTTCACAACTTCAATTTCTTGCTGTTGCTTCATACTGCCTCAATGACTGACCTCTCCCTCTGCTTAAAGAGAATCCAGAATGGTGGGGTTTGGAATTTATATTCTTAATAGTGGCAAACAGCTGCTATAGCCAGCTGTGTGGCACAAGTGGTCTCCCCATTTGCTGCTCCACTGTTTTATCCCATCTTAATGGCTATTGTCTGAGAATCATTACTACTGTAACCTATAACAAGCTTCTTGCCATAGGCCTCTGGAAATTCCATTTGCAATATAACTAGTAGCCTATCCATGTACCACCTGGAATTAAACGTGTTATCATTATAATCAATCAACCAATCACTGCATCAATGCTAGAATCTGCTTAATTTCCCACAGAATATGATCAATAGAACAATGTTCGGGGAACTTGCAGCATCAAGAAGTCAACTAAGATGTTTATATCATTATTTTTTTTTCATATTGTTCTCTAACCTGGTATTTGACATTGTTGGAAACAGAGGTGTGTGTAGCCCAGTGGAGGCTGGTGGGAGGAGCTATAGGAGGTCAGGCTCATTGTAATGACTGGAATGGAATATATGGAACAGTCAAAAATGTGGTTTCCATATGTTTGATAACGTTCCATTAATTCCATTCCAGCCTTTACAATGAGACTGTCCTCCTATAGCTCCTCCCACCAGCCTCTTCTGGTGTAGCCTATTGTCCGGCTGACCCGCATTGTCTAGCTGCCCTCATCTTCCTTCCTACATGGGCCGCGGGCACGGATGCCCCTCTCCTCACCATTCCATTAATGGGCACGCGCTTGTCAATGGTGCGAGGTCTACCAAATAAGGAGAAGGTGGCGCACACTGTCAGAGTATAAATTGGCGCGTCCTCACAGCTCCTTGCCCCTGGTTTTGCACTGAAGGTCCAGCGCACGGTGCTGATCTGGTGAGTAGCGCTAGTTTTATCAGCTCTTCCTCTTGAGTCAAGAGTGAGAAATTATAAGTATTTTGAAATTACCTTGGAGGACCACAATTATGCTAACCTGGCAAGATTCTGAATGTAGCTCAGTTGGTAGAGCATGGCGCTTGCAACGCCAGGGTTGTGGGTTCGTTTCCCACGGGGGGCCAGTATGAAAATGTATGTACTCACTAACTGTAAGTTGCTCTGGATAAGAGCGTCTGCTAAATGACTAAAATGTAAAAAATGAATGCTCTCATCCGCGACTAACCAACTGGCATTCCCTAACTGGAACTGCGTCGAAGATACAGATTTTTCACCATACACCAATTCTACGTTTTTCGGCTGCATACTTTTGTATTTTTCAAGCCCATTTGTTATTTTCTCGCGTTTGACATTTTGGTTATTGTATACAGACCATGAATAATAGATGAGGACATGGTGTGCCAAGTAACAAATGATGATGTAGTAGTAGGCTACTGAATTACCACAGTGTGAGCTGCATTAGCAAGTAAAAATAAGTACAAATTGGTAGGCATGAAGCATACTTACAAAAAGTCACTAACCATTAAACTTCTGAATTACAACCATAAATACTTGCTAAACTAGCGTCCTCTATAAAATGGATAGACTGAAGAGGAAATAATGTAAAATAAGTATATGATGGTTGCATCCACCCCTTATTTCAACTGATGTGATTCAACTAACAAACCTGCAGTAAAACATGGTTCTAAAATATAATGGCCATATATAGCCTAGTATTAACACTTCCATTTAATTTGCCATATATGCGTAATTCACAGCTCAGTTGATTGGAGCATGGTGCATTGATTGTGCCATATTGTCCAAACGTAAAATCGTGTGCTAAAATCTAAATGACCATATTATTGTACCGCTACAGTCAAAGCTGACACCATGTGCGACGACGAGGAGACTACTGCTTTGGTGTGCGACAACGGCTCTGGCCTGGTGAAGGCTGGCTTCGCCGGAGATGACGCACCGCGCGCTGTCTTCCCCTCAATCGTGGGTCGCCCACGTCACCAGGTAGAGTACTTCACCTGAAGCTGCTGTGTGAAAACAAAATAAATTGAGTTCGGTTATTATTGTCTGTAAAATCACAACATCACTTTGGAACCTTGGCGAGCCATGTGTAAATGCCACTCAGACGCCATTTGATAGGCTATCATAAGCCACGTTCATTCAGACCTATCCTTGCGTTTTCTCAGGGCGTCATGGTCGGTATGGGTCAGAAAGATTCCTATGTCGGTGACGAGGCCCAGAGCAAGAGGGGTATCCTGACCCTGAAGTACCCCATTGAGCACGGCATCATCACCAACTGGGATGACATGGAGAAGATCTGGCATCACACCTTCTACAACGAGTTGCGTGTGGCACCTGAGGAGCACCCCACCCTGCTGACAGAGGCTCCCCTCAACCCAAAAGCCAACAGGGAGAAGATGACCCAGATCATGTTTGAGACCTTCAACGTCCCCGCCATGTACGTGGCCATCCAGGCCGTGCTGTCCCTTTACGCATCTGGACGTACCACAGGTATGATTGATAGATAAGTAGTCTTCAGCCATGACCATCTGAAAGGTCTTCTTCAATGCTAACATATATCGCCACACTTTTTCAGGTATTGTCCTGGACTCGTGCCCATCTATGAGGGTTATGCTCTGCCCCATGCCATCATGCGTCTGGATCTGGCCGGTCGCGACCTCACAGACTACCTCATGAAGATCCTGACCGAGCGTGGCTACTCTTTCGTAACTACTGGTACACACGGGACATGGGCAATATTAACCGTATGAGGAATGAGGAAAAGCATGAAATTCGGCAAAAATGATATGCCACAAATGTTAGCCTATATTTTTCAATAACAATCAAATGCCACACTTGAAACCCAACAGCTGAGCGTGAGATAGTGCGTGACATCAAGGAAAAGCTGTGCTACGTGGCTTTGGACTTTGAGAATGAGATGGCCACCGCTGCCTCCTCCTCCTCCCTGGAGAAGAGCTACGAGTTGCCCGACGGTCAGGTCATCACCATCGGTAACGAGAGGTTCCGTTGCCCCGAGACTCTCTTCCAGCCCTCCTTCATTGGTGCGTATTACTGATCTCACCAGCCGTTTATATACTACACACGGTTATCTTAAGTGGAGATAATCATTGTGTAATAACGTATACGACTGCTGTGAATTAGTTAGACTTCGTTAAAGTCATCTATGTGACGTAGGGTAACAGAGCATATGCCTGCGGGTATTTTCACAAAACAGAATCAATGAATTATCCTGATATCCAGATAGGCTTAACTAAACCCATATTCAGCTTTAGCTTTCATTTATCTTTGTATTATATTTAAATCATAGGCCTTTCTGTGTGTTTATATAAAGTTTGCTGGTTTAGCTGACTAACATATTGATGCTGCTTTTGAAATACAACCCCAGCATGTGAAGCATGAGCTGCAGATGCTTGTTGACATAACTACTATAACAAGAGGAGCTGTCCATTTCAGCACCTGTTCACAGCCAACGCTCTAGAGGCCAACTGACCAACTACTGTATTTTCACAGTTGAATGTCATAACAAGTGTAGCCTATTTATCCAGAGGGGGCTGGCTCAGATTGAAAGATAACATAATTTAGGTGTCACTACAGACCCGGGTTCGATCCCTGGCTGTGTTACAGCCGGCCGTGACCTGGAGACCCATGAGGCAGTGCACAATTGACCCAGCGTCGTCTGGGTTAGGGGAGGGTTTGGCCGGCCGGGATTTCCTTTTCCCATTGTGCTCTAATGACTCCTTGTGGCGGGCCGGGCGCCTGCACGCTGACTTCGGTTGCCAGCTGGACGGTGTTTCCTCCGGCACATTGGTGCGGCTGGCTTCTGGGTTAAGCGAGCAGTGTGTCAAGAAGCAGTGCAGCTTGGCGGGGTCGTGTTTCGGAGGACACATGGCTTTCGACCATTCGCCTCTCCCGAGTCCGTAGTGGAGTTGCAGCGATGGGACAAGACTGTAACTACCAAGTGGATATCACAAAAAAGGGGTAAAAGTACAACAAAAAATAAGATAATTGAAAGATAACATCATTGTCCTTTGGTAAACAGGTATGGAATCTGCTGGCATTCACGAAACTACCTACAACAGCATCATGAAGTGTGACATTGACATCCGTAAGGACCTGTATGCCAACAACGTTCTGTCTGGTGGTACCACCATGTACCCTGGTATTGCTGACTGGATGCAGAAGGAGATCACAGCTTTGGCCCCTAGCACCATGAAGATTAAGGTAATGTTGATTTAGACCTGCTGTTGTAGGATTGTTCTTTATTTTCAATGTTCTATTACAATGTATTTCCCAAAGGTTTAGTGCTATGGGGCACAACTTTGAAACCCAAAAATGTAACAAAGTCAGCTATTTTCCTGCCCATTTGAGAGTATGGTCTATTATGTAAATGTTATGCACATAAGAACAGAACAATTTTTTCACTTTATAAAACACCTTGCTATTAGGCCACTAACCAATGGCATTATCACTTGTTTGTAGATCATCGCTCCCCCCCCTGAGAGGAAGTACTCTGTGTGGATCGGCGGCTCCATCCTGGCCTCCCTCTCCACCTTCCAGCAGATGTGGATCAGCAAGCAGGAGTATGATGAGGCCGGCCCCTCCATCATCCACCGGAAATGCTTCTAGTCACCATGCCCCCTCCTCCACCTTACCTCTGCTCCGTCTGCGCTCAAATTAACTTACGGCCCAGGCCAGTTTGTTTACACTCAAGTGCAATTTATATGTGGATATGTATAGGTTTATAAATAAACGAGACCCGGGACTTGCAACACACCTTTTTGTGTCTCATTGTGGCTTGCGATAGATACACTTCAGTTATCCCATATAAGGATAGCCTATACATTTTAGAGGTCACTTATAAATCATGTAGGGAGAGCATGTTCCTTAATCACAATAGCTTATAGCTTAAACCTATAGGTCTATATGACTCTTCAATGACAAAGGTGTCAGGAATGGCACCGTAAAATACCTTGTTCTGTTAAGACTGTACAGGTCAGCCAGTGGGGAGCATACATGCGAATGAAAAACATCAAAGAAAATACAGGAATTGACATTGCATAAATTAAGGACTTGGATTGGTGTGTTTTTGCCATGTGTTTCATGGGTGTTGTGACTTGTGTATTGGTATGCAGTGTTTGCATTACTGATGACCTAGTGCTGAGCTTCCCCCCTCCCCTCTGCCTCTCCCTCTCTTACACACACACACACACACACACACACACACCCCCCTTCTCGTTTATCACATCACGTGATGATTCATTGGAAGGTTATAATGATTTGAGGTTATGAAAGATTATAGCAGGGAGAGCTAAGCCATCTGATGATCCATTAAACATGCCCGTTCATTGAATAAAAACAAAGTCACATAATCCCTCACACTAATCCGTGCACCTTAGATCAGGTAATAGATTCTATCTGCAAAGGTACGTTCTATGTGTAAACATCAGTTCTCTTCCACAGCAATGGTCAAAAATATAAATATTTTCCTGAGCATTCATGAGGCATCTTAGTAGCCTCATTAAACAATTCACTTATTAGGCATAGGCCTATCCAGCATTGTAATGCATTACATTTGGGTGGAAATAAGATTAATATTTGTATTCTATATTTTCAAATATTTATGTGAAAATATAATAAAGGCTACTCAATTTGAAATTATTATTAGGCCTACCACGTCTTTGAAATAATCAGAGATTTCATTGACAAATATTTGTATGGTTGTGTCTTAAAATAGTCTAATGTTAAGTCGTGTACATGCTCCCTGCTCTGTAGTTGAATTGATCATATCTAAGTGCAAAACACAAGGCAGGGCCAGATAGGCCTATTTTGATGCCTTTTTTAAAGCCCCAACACAGACAGGCAACCTCATAAAGCTATTAGCAACTCAGATGCTACTTTCACTTAGTCACAGTATATCCACAGCAATATCTTTGCCCTATGGTGGAAACAATAGCTTTCCCAGTGGGCAAAACCTGGTTGAAAAGATAACGTCTTATTCTGGTAGATATTACGTATTTTTCTGACCACCATACGACCAGTTGGTCATAATTGTAACCTCTATCTGACCAGCTGATCATAATTCTGAGCACTATATTATGTGCTATATTATGTAGCCTACTGGTCATAGTTAAGACCTCATCATAACCTGGTAATGACCACCTGACTACAGTTTATTACCCACTGTAAAAGGTATTGCAGAGGAAAAAGTTGGATATTGAAAACATTGTTCATTATATACTGCTCAAAAAAATAAAGGGAACATTAAAATAACACATCCTAGATCTGAATGAATGAAATAATCTTATTAAAAACATTTTTCTTTACATAGTTGAATGTGCTGACAACAAAATCACACAAAAATTATCAATGGAAATCAAATTTATCAACCCATGGAGGTCTGGATTTGGAGTCACACTCAAAATTAAAGTGGAAAACCACACTACAGGCTGATCCAACTTTGATGTAATGTCCTTAAAACAAGTCAAAATGAGGCTCAGTAGTGTGTGTGGCCTCCACGTGCCTGTATGACCTCCCTACAACGCCTGGACATGCTCCTGATGAGGTGGCGGATGGTCTCCTGAGGGATCTCCTCCCAGACCTGGACTAAAGCATCCGCCAACTCCTGGACAGTCTGTGGTGCAACGTGGTGTTGGTGGATGGAGCGAGACATGATGTCCCAGATGTGCTCAATTGGATTCAGGTCTGGGGGACGGGCGGTCCATAGCATCAATGCCTTCCTCTTGCAGGAACTGCTGACACACTCCAGCCACATGAGGTCTAGCATTGTCTTGCATTAGGAGGAACCCAGGGCCAACCGCACCAGCATATGGTCTCACAAGGGGTCTGAGGATCTCATCTCGGTACCTAATGGCAGTCAGGCTACCTCTGGCGAGCACATGGAGGGCTGTGCAGCCCCCCAAAGAAATGCCACCCCACACCATGACTGACCCACCACCAAAATGGTCATGCTGGAGGATGTTGCAGGCAGCAGAACGTTCTCCACGGCGTCTCCAGACTCTGTCACGTCTGTCACGTGCTCAGTGTGAACCTGCTTTCATCTGTGAAGAGCACAGGGCGCCAGTGGCGAATTTGCCAATCTTGGTGTTCTCTGGCAAATGCCAAACATCGTGCATGGCGTTGGGCTGTAAGCACAACCCCCACCTGTGGACGTTGTGCCCTCATACCACCCTCATGGAGTCTGTTTCTGACCGTTTGAGCAGACACATGCACATTTGTGGCCTGCTGGAGGTCATTTTGCAGGGCTCTGGCAGTGCTCCTTCTGCTCCTCCTTGCACAAAGGCGGAGGTAGCGGTCCTGCTGCTGGGTTGTTGCCCTCCTACGGCCTCCTCCACGTCTCCTGATGTACTGGCCTGTCTCCTGGTAGCGCCTCCATGCTCTGGACACTACGCTGACAGACACAGCAAACCTTCTTGCCACAGCTCGCATTGATGTGCCATCCTGGATGAGCTGCACTACCTGAGCCACTTGTGTGGGTTGTAGACTCCGTCTCATGCTACCACTAGAGTGAAAGCACCGCCAGCATTCAAAAGTGACCAAAACATCAGCCAGGAAGCATAGGAACTGAGAAGTAGTCTGTGGTCACCACCTGCAGAACCACTCCTTTATTGGGGGTGTCTTGCTAATTGCCTATAATTTCCACCTGTTGTCTATTCCATTTGCACAACAGCATGTGAAATGTATTGTCAATCAGTGTTGCTTCCTAAGTGGACAGTTTGATTTCACAGAAGTGTGATTGACTTGGAGTTACATTGTGTTGTTTAAGTGTTCCCTTTATTTTTTTGAGCAGTGTATTTCTATTTGTTTCCATAGTCACCAATTAAAGTTTAAATCTACAACATATTCTTACATTTAAAATAGATAAAGCAATGGCAAAAACAAATCTACATCACAATGTTTTTGCACATCTGCATACAGTAATTGTTTCATAATTCACCTACAGACATTACATGCATAGAAAGACTGGGACACAGATTATATAAAGGCAGATTGTTTTATTTTATTAATGATTAATAAGAGTGGTGTGATGAGTCAGATCTGCAGTGAAGAGAATCAGCGGAATACAACTTTTTCAATTTGAGATAGAAAACTAGAGAAGGATATTCCTGAAGAAACTTTGTGGACAGTTGGCTAAAGGTATTTCCAAAGTATTTCCATAGTACTAGTTGAAGAAGTTTGTGGCAGTTATAGCTTAGATGTCTTCAAAAAAGAGCAACTTGCTCATATACATACTTTGTGTCCTCCTCCACCACGGCGGTCAGGGGCATATTTTAGGACTTCCCAGAGGCCCCGCAACACATCAACCTCCTGAGTTTTCTGGCTTTTCATGGCTGTAAGCATAAAAAGAGAAGAGAATAAATGAACGATTGGCATAATGTGGATATGCAGGACACACGACAGAACAGTAAACTATATTTAACAGCCAGAATCTACAAAAAATGTCTCATTGTCTATGTCAAATGTCTCAACTGCTCATATTTACTTACCAACTACAAAGGAGCACACACGAGTGGTAGCAAAGGCATGATTGCTCCTCTCTCCCTTCATAATATTATTGAAGTGGGACATGAATTCATTGGTCATCAACTTGAAACATTTTAAGAGGATATAAAATTAGACAGTAGTTGGATAATGACCATTTTTAACTCATCTCTAAATGGTAAAGATTTGCTTAATCCTAATACATGTTGTAATGTTGTATAAACACACCGCTCCATAATCCTTAGGACATTGTTCCAGACAGAAAGGTAAATGTAATAATGTAATAATGTGTAAAGCGGCATTAAATAGAGAAAAACAAATGTGTTTGAGTGAGTGACAGGGAGAATGAGCAAGAGAGAAGTGGGAGAAACTTTACATGACTCACCAAGGGAGGTGTCTGTTGAATGAGGACACAAAAAAAGGTGAGTTAAAATAGGATTTTATTTGCTTTACAAACTTACTGTATATCATTAAAATAAGTGCTATTTTAATTGGATCTACTTACACTACACTCTTAGTAAAAAGGGTTCCAAAAGGGTTACTCGGCTGTCCCCATAACATAACCCTTTTTGGTTCCATGTAGAACCCTCTGCAGAAAGTGTTCTACATGGAACCCAAGAGAATTCTACTTGGAATCAAAAGGGGTTCTATATTGGACCAAAAATGATTCTTCAAAGGGTTATCCTATGGGGTCAGCCGATGAACCCTTTTAGGTTCTAGATAGCAACTTTTTTTCTAAGAGTGTATGATCAGACATTATGGGCAGCTGAATAGCATGTCTCTTGGGGAATCCAGTCTCAGTGAGACCTGATGCAGAGAAAAAACGTTAATGATCATTAGCATAGCTAGTACAAACCTAGCTCTTACAAAGCACATTGAAGATCAGAGTTTCAAACAGAAAAAATAAACATTTTGCGCACAAAACTTGACTATGGATTTGAGGGGTGGTTCTGCTCTCTCCTTTCCCTGGGATGTGGCAGAATAGGTCCCTGGTAACTGAGTGGTTGGCCAAGCACAGCTGTAGAGGCCATGCATCAGGTCATTTACATGTTTCAGGAACTGTAAAGACTGAAACGAATCATGATTAACCATTACCTAAGGTCTTCACTAAGTTAGACTTAGCCTAG